CTGGTGGCTTCAGACTTCAGAGGACCCTATTTTGGTATCAGCGGGCGCCTCTCTGTGGCATCAGAGGGCCCTCAGAGGCCTCAAATGGCCTTATTACATCTCAGAGAGCTGTCTTTGAACTCAGAGGGATCTTTTTTACTTCTTTGTGGTGTCTAAGGGGGGCCCTCTGGCCTTTGTTCGCCTCAAGGGGCCTCAAGGGGTCCTCCGATGACTTCCAAGGACCCTCTTTGATCTCAGAGGGCCTGATGACCTCATAGGGCTCATGGTGGTCTGACATAGCATCATATCACCTCAGAAGGCCCTCCAGTGGCCTGAGAGGGCACTTTGTGGCCTTTGAAGGCCCTCCATTCGCCTTAAAGGGCCCTCTTTGATCTCTTTGATATCTTCGATCTCAGAGGGCCCTCTTTGAGGTGGCTGTGAGGGCCCTTTGTTCACCTCAGAGGGCCCTCTGGTGACCTCCAGGGACCATCTTTAATCTAAGAGGGCCGTCTGGTGGCCTCATAGGATACCTTGTGGCCTGAAATTGACCCTCGTACCTCAGAGGCCCTTCTGTTCGTCTTAACAGGCCCTCTGCTGGTCTTAGCGGACCTTTTGTGTGCCTGGGAGGGCCCCCTGAGTACCTGAGAGGGCCCTCTGTGTGTTTGAGAGGGCCCTCTGTGTGCCTGAAAGGGCCCTCTGTGTAGTTTGCCTGAGAGGGCCCTCTGTGTGCCTGAGGGGGCCCTATGTGTACCTGAGAGGGTCCTCTGTGTGGCTGAGAGGGCCCTCTGTGTGTCTCAGAGGACCATATGTGTACCTGAGAGGGCCCTCTGTGTGTCTGAGAGGGCCCTTTGTGTGTCTCAGAGGGCCTTGTGTGCCTGAGAGGGCCTCCTGTGTGCCTGAGAGGGCCCTCTGTGTGTTTGAGAGGGCCCTCTATGTGCCTGAAAGGGCCCTCTGTGTACCTGAGAGGGCCCTCCGTGTGTTTTAGAGGGCCCTCTGTGTGCCTGAAAGGGCCCTCTGTGTACCTGAGAGGGCCCTCTGTTTGCCTCAGGGGGCCCTCTGTTTGCCTGAAGGGCCCTCTGTGTGCCTGAGGGGGCCCTATGTGTGCCTGAGAGGGCCCTCTGTGAGCCTGAGAGGCCCCTCTGTGTACCTGAGAGGGCCCTCTGTGTGTCTCAGAGGACCATATGTGTACCTGAGAGGGCCCTCTGTGTGTCTGAGGGGGCCCTATGTGTGCCTGAGAGGGCCCTCTGTGAGCCTGAGAGGGCCCTCTGTGTGCCTGATAGGGCCCTCTGTGTACCTGAGAGGGCCCTCTGAGTGCCTTAGAGGGCCCTCTGAGTGCCTGAGAGGGCCCTCTGAGTGCCTGAGAGGGCCCTCTGGGCTATGGCCCCCGTTCGTCTCAGAGGGTCCCTTTATTCGCCCCTTTAGAGGGCCCTCTGTTTGCCTCAAAGGGCCCTCCGTTTGCCTAAAAGGACCCCGTATTCGCCTCAGAGGGCCCTTTGGTAACCACAGGGGGCTCTATTGTTGCATTGGAGGGCCCTCTGTTGCCTCCGAGGGCCCTTTTTATCTCAGAGGACCCTCTTTGACCTCAGAGGGCTCTTTTCGACCTATTCGAGATGTCTGAGAGGGCCCTCTGAGTGCTTGAGAGGACCCTCTGAGTGCCTGAGAGGGCCCTCTGAGTGCCTGAGAGGGCCCTCTGAGTGCCTGAGAGGGCCCTCTGAGTGCTTGGGAGGGCCCTCTGAGTGTCTGAAAGGGCCCTCTGAGTGTCTGAGAGGGCCCTCTGAGTGCCTGAGAGGGCTCTCTGGGCTCTGGCCCCCTTTCGTCTCAGAGGGTCCCTTTATTCGCCACTTTAGAGGGCCCTCTGTTTGCCTCAAAGGGCCCTCTGTTTGCCTAAAAGGACCCCTATTCGCCTCAGAGGGCCCTTTGGTGACCACAGGGGGCTCTATTGTTGCATTGTAGGGCCCTCTGTTGCCTCCGAGGGCCCTTTTTGATCTCAGAGGGCCCTCTTTGAGCTCAGAGGGCTCTTTTCGACCTCTTCAAGATGTCTGAGAGGGCCCTCGGGCCTGAGAGGGCCCTCTGAGTGCTTGAGAGGGCCCTCTGAGTGCCTGAGAGGGCCCTCTGAGTGCCTGAGAGGGCCCTCTGAGTGCCTGAGAGGGCCCTCTGAGTGCCTGAGAGGGCCCTCTGTGTGTCTGAGAGGGCCCTCTGAGTGCCTGAGAGGGCCCTCTGAGTGCCTGAGAGGGCCCTCAGACTCTGTGTGTCTGAGAGGGCCCTCTGTGTGCCTGAGAAGGTCCTGTTCGTTGTAAAGGGCCCTTAATTTACTCTACAAGGTCCCTCGTTGGCCTAAAGGGGTCCTCTGATAGTCCTAAAAGGGTCCCTAGAAATGTAATTGATACTTTTCATTATGTAAAAAAAAAATGTAAGTGGTGAAAAGGGCCCTCAAAGTGTTTTCAATTTTTTTTTTCGAGTAAAAAAAATTTTTTTTTGCTCCAGGGGGGACCCTAGGACCCCCAGGGTCCCCCCTTGGATACGCCACTGCTTGCTGGGGTCTGTGTATAACGCGCCCTGCTGGGGGGGGGGGCTATTCATAGACCTCCCCCCTTCTAACTCCGAAGCTACTGGGCCGATCGTCAACATTCAAACGGCGTCAGATAGCCCCGGAAAAACTGTCAAGGGAAACCTAATTTCATTGAACTCGAGGTCCCCGATGACGTCACAGGTCAGGTCAAAGTAAAAATTATCGATGTTTGGCTTGTTCACCTTTTGGGCTCTGGCCGCCGTCTTACAAGTCAGATCAGGGTCATTTTTGGTTTACACACTCGTGAACAGATGCTTTAGGTACGCTAAGGGTACCAAACTTGTACTTTGATTTTCGGGTCAGGGTCAGGTCATCACAGGTCACGGAAATCTGATATCATGCGTCGGTCACGTGACACATGCTTTATGGTCCATTTAGACCATATATTTCGAATTTGATGTCGTTTATGTCATTCGAGGTGATGTTGAGTTGAATTTAGTTTAGGTCAGGTCACTTCGAGGTCAAAAAGGTCAAATTTTAAAGTTGAATATTTTTTTAACAAAAAAAAAACATGTGTATCAGATGCAGCTTGAGCTCAGCACCACGATGGTGCTATTTATTATGGTGTACGATGTCAAATACGTACTGAAAAATTGATTTGAAAAAATGTATTTTGACATTTTTGCTGAACTGCGTATAACTTAGCCATTTTTGAAGATATCTGGCTAAAACTTGCTAGAGTAAGCATGTGTTCTATCATATAATCCGGTGTTTTCGAAAAGTCAAAAACTTTTTGAAAAAATACAAATTTTGAATCTTAATATATATAATTTCAATTTTTTTAATTTTGATGTAATGCATGTAAATACATGATCAAGCTTTTGTGCCGCTAAACGTTTAACGATTTCTTTGTAACGCCTTCTCAAGTTTAGTTTGTATAAATATTACAATTTACTGTGGACTTAGCCAAAAGATTTGAATCTGCATGGAGTCTGATTATGTAAAATTAAAAATAGCTGCTATGCATTTGTATAATTTATTTTAAAAAACGATTGATTTAGTAGGTAATCCTAAGCCAATCAAATGTAGAGCAGGTGAATGTCGTTCAACCAATTAGCGTAGCGTCTGTTCAGTTATTCAAATTAGCTAATAATAGCATCAGCATTTAGTAGAGAATCGAATGAAAACTACATTTACCCGTTTCAACATGGACACCATGCATCCTGAATATATCAGAAGGGAGAATCTACACAAACGATCTTGTTCGATAACCAATAATTGGTTCATCAGCAACAGTTCCGACTAACTAATGTGTGCGTGTGTGCACTGTGCCCGCGTGCTAAGGGAAGGAAGTAGAACCAATGGTTTTAGTTGACGAGAAGTTTTCGACGCAATATTTGGCACTTTCGTATGTAGACTCGATAGGTGCATCTGTAACATTTTCGAGAATAGCGTTGGTCTATGGGTCTATGTAGGCTTGTGTAAAAATATTGCAAGAGAATATTATGTTTTAAAACTCTGCCAGTTCCATTTCTGTCTGAAGCTTGATAACAAAAGGCAGGTGCATCGAATGAGAAAAGCCGCACCCATCAATCAAATGCCGCGACTGCCTATCTGCACCACAGTGACCCGCTGTCAAATGGTGTCTGGTCACTCAGAGTGACGCTCTATCAAAAAGTGCACTTCTTTTTGCCGAAAAAAATATCTATGCGTTAAAATCCTCATGCATCAATATTTTTGTTAACCGAACGTTGCAAGCGAGGTCATGGAAACGTCCAACGCAATTGGGAATCGCGCACAAATATGCTTGACGTGTCAACTCCTGATCTGTAAACGTCGGCCGAATTGGGACATGCCCACACATGAAACATTTATTAAATAAATAAAATAAACAACGTTTTAGATGTAATTATCGATGCAGAGCTTATATAGCCGTGGTAATCTTGCTCTTTGCCATTGCAGCCAAGTGACTCGGCCTTGTGTGCGCACTGCGTAATAATGTGACGGGAATCGTGACATTGATCTTTAGGCTCAACGGACGCAAATTGAAAATTAATGAATTTGTACACTTAGTGATGGTTTATGAAGCCAGACATTCATCACATGCTCTAACTGTCCTACACAGTTCCAAAAATCATCGCAGCAATCTTACCGGTAGGATTATTACTCGCCCTTCCCGCCCTAACATATGTTCTCAGATTCAAATTTTGAATCCTAACGGTCGTCGTGAGACGTCCCAACGGCCACTCGCGGATCACGGTGAGCGTCCCGTGATCGGAGCCACGGGCAAACACCGGGTCTGGCTGGCCGGCCGGCATGGCAGCCGCGCGGCAGTACCCTAGGGTAACGGTTTCCATGAGGGCAGACCCTTAGGGCAAAAAGCTGTAATTTGGCGTTTTACGACTTCCTGGCGAGGCGCAAATGAACGGCACCTGTTGCGTGGTGCTGTGGGAGGGGTGATTAGCGACTGCCCTAGTTTCCCCATAGACTGGGGGCGGGCGGCGGCTCTCACCTGTCGTTGGTGGTGCTCCGCTGTCTCCGTCGGCTGTCGGAAGCGATCGTCGACGACGGACACCCGGCACGCGCACTCACCGCCGGCGGCACTCTATTGACACAGGTGCAGCGCGCCAGATAGCACGGGCCGAGCGGCCGCCGGCTCGATCGTCGGCGTCGGAGGGCGCTGAGCGGCGCGGGCGGCGCGGCCGGCCGGCAGGGCGGCTCTGTAGTCTGTACTGCAGGCGCGCTGCAACGCCCGGGCCGCGCGACCGCCGCGCCGGCCGCCCCGCTACGCTGCCCGTACTATTGGCCGCCGGTTGCCCTGCATACCAATAGACGTACGTCGACGACGGCCGCAGAGGCGGCGCCAACGTCACCGGCGGGGCCCGTGCCCGGCGGCCAGCCGACGCCGCCGACACGGCTGAGGGTCACGGCGAGGTCACGAGAAGTCACGGGCTGTCACGGGATGCGGCGGCGGACGGGCCTGCCGGCCGGGAGGGCGGTGCACGGCCGCAGTGCGCATGCGCGCGGCGTCAGGCGGCGTCACTTGCCGGGACGCAATCCGTTCGAATTTGACACGCGCCTCGGTGCAGGCCGGCGCGACGCGACGCCGGCGGACCGGTTTGAGAGCCACTGGGTTTGGAATACGTAGGCGTATGTTACGGTGCGCGTCGTGGCGGCCTCAGCAGTAGTATGTGACGTCACGGCTTGTTCACGCTGCTAGTACGCGGCAGCACGCGCCGCCTCGGCAACTGTCAATGGCGCCGGCGATTTTAAATCGGGAGTCGGGCGAGCGCGCCAATACGTCACAGGAGGGGGGCGGGCAGGGGGCGGATTTCGCTGGAAACCCGGCGGCGGCGGTTGGAGGTTCTCAGAACGGACGGCCCAGCTCGTGACGCCGCACGGCTCCGTGAGACGGCCGGCCGGGAGACGCGGCAACTTTGAACGAGCCGGCAACTGGACTGCAACGAACTCCGTGAGCCGCGCTCCGAGCCATGCAGGCCGGCCGGCCCGCCTGCCGATTTTTGTGGAATTTTGAACGCTGGCTGATGAAATGAGGTGTCACGTCAGTTGCAGAGTCTTTGCCCGCTTGACGCCCTCATCATGCTCTGACAGATGCTGTGCTCGTTATTTTTAGGGATAGGGACAAGTTGAAAGATATGCACAAATGAGGATTTGATGCCATAAACGGAAACGGCCGGTAAGCTCCTTGGTTTTCCCTTCAGGGTGGCCCCCGGGAAAGCCAGCCGTAAAAAGCCGGTCGTATGTAATTACTATTGCAGGGGTGGGGAAGCAAGGGCGCGGGAACTACTTTCAGACTGGGGGGCACACCATGATAGAGATCAACCTAGGGTACCCCCAAATTTAGTTTTCTCGCCGGTTTTAGGCCACTTATTTTTCATCCCTTGGCTTTTTCAACAAAAAAGAAAACATTTGCAAAAAGTGCAGCATTCCGTCTTAAAGCTGTGGGGGCACCGCCCCCACGGCCCTAAAGTAAGGGGGGCAAGCTGCCCCCACTGCCCCCCCGGTTCCCGCGCCCATGTGGGGAAGGGGAAGGGTCGGTAGCAGGTCCACGACAGGTGAACGTGGGAGGGGGCAGAGGGGAGGGGCCAGTGGCAGCTGGACAGTGGTGCACTCCGCGACAGGTGCTTCCATAAATTAAACGGCGTTTTAGAGCAGTGGGTGTAGCATTTGTCACGGCTATGTTTCGAGACCTGTTGCAGGGAACTAAGATTAAAAAAGTTATTAATTGCTGGGTAGGTACTGAAAAATGGTATTTTTGGGTTCTTTTTGCATTCCATGGACCATGACTAACCATTCAAAATGTTTGTTTGGAAGGGCTCATTCCTCTTGCCAAATACGAGAAAATGCCGTGCATTACACCTAATAAATTAACGCTTCAACGAGATTCCTAATTACTTGTTCCGTGGTCGTCTTTCGAGCTCGCTAAGCTTCGGTAGCATGATGCTATAAATTACGAAATTTCATTTCAAATATGGTATTCCCATAATCCCATTCCCACATTTGGAGGGCCTTGGCGCACATGTTACCTAGTTATAGGTACTCTGCTACCGCTTCTTGTCACCGGATCGTCTGTAAGGCTCCGGTATAGGCGGTAGCAGTCATCGGATCGCTGTCTGCGGTTTTCGTGGGGTGCGGCTGGGAATTGTGTGTTATTGGTCTGCTGTCGTCAGCCGCTCCGACTGACCGCCGCAAGTTCAAGCCCAGATATGGTTGGTAGAACTTCTGCGGACTTCTATACTACGGAACTTCTGTGTGTGCAGGCACAGCTGGTTTACCTGCAGTTATTGATGGGGCTTCAGCGTATCAGGCCTCAGCAGAGGACACTGGAGCCGAAAGCAATCGACGTAAGTAGCAGTCAGCCCTAACTTTGCTCATTATTCGTTGAAAATTACGAATATTATTAAAAAATGTTTGGTGTTCAAAATCCTAAGGCAATAGGCATATGTGCAATTTGCTTAAAATATTTTGTATTTTACAAGTTATACGACCGGAGCGGCATTCAGAGACCATTTCTGACCACTAGCGCGTCTAGCGTCCGGAGCATTTCCTTTGTTGTGATTGTACTCCTGAAACGTTATATCGGTGTACGATGATGATGCAACAGTGCTGGCTGGGTGCTCGCTGGCCTGCCACTCTGAGAAGCCGCGGGGCAAAGGGCAAGGTCCACGACCATTTCTATGTCGGCCGACCCAGACCGGACGACGCCGTCCTTATGTAAAAAGGTCGGGCTACGGGCTACGGTGGCGAACTGATACTGGTCCCAACGGATTGATAGGGTGGGCTGTTGTTGCTTAGTGAAATTTTGGGCTTAATTTTGTAAGGACGTATCATCAGCCATTCTATTATCTCGGGAAAATCAGTTTTATCGATATCGATCGATTTTATCGAGGCATTGTTTTCCCCATAGGCCTTCATTCTATTTCTCTAATTCTATCTTGAAAGCCCCAACAGAAGCATAACTTATCCAACGATAGACATAACATAATACATAAAGACATTTGTCAGTATGTGGCACGGCACGGGTCAGCAAAGCGTCTCAAGATCTGCTGCCGACCTCACACCTGTTTTTGCAGCTGCCCCCGGGCCCCTCCCGTGTAGTGATGTCCATCCCTCCCCATGGCCCCTTCTCAGTGAGCCCCCTCCCCCTCCCTCCCCGGTTAGGGGCGGCTGAGTTGAGCCGTATCGGTCGCGGCCGGCCCGTGTTTATTTGTTCTAGTGGCGTGTTCGGTGCCAGACCGTCTGGCCCGCGCTGTAAGACGCGGACGCCCCGTCTCAGAGAGACAGACTTATGGAATTAGAGAGGCCGGTTACCAGCGCCGCATTATTTGCCAGAGCTGAAGACATTAGGAATTAAAAATGCACAAGTGTGGTTGAAGACCAGGAAGTCTCGCGGTTCAAACTCTAAATAAGCTCACTTTTCAACCGACTCCTTGCCAGGGATTGTTTTGCCACCAAACCTCATCTCTTTTTTCAAAAGCGTCAGCGAAAAAAATGATGGATCCTAGCGACGCCGTATTTGATACAACGTATGTCTCGCCCATTACGCATTCTTAGGCAAGGCGTGAATAGCTATAGTTGTTCATTTTAATCCTCCCTAGACGGGAGGACTGAGGTGGCTAATGCCAGGCAAGATGTTTTTTTTCTAATTGCTGAATGCATACTTGAAATTGAGTGCTGAGTGTCCAAAGAGTTTTAATATGAAAGCAACAAATAAATTAATACTTCTCTACACCTTTCTTTAAAAATATTACAACTTCGCAACACCTTAACCCTCGCCGGCACAGGCTATTTTGCGTCCTTCAATGGCACAAAGGGGGGTGGGGATACGACCTCCCCCCTCACGTTTGGCCCCTGATCGAGCTATAGCTTCGCGGAAAAACGAGCATGCTGCCCTTTACGAGAGGAAGCCGATGATACCCAATTTTAAGGTCCTAGGTCATCAGTTGACCTTCCAAGTCAGGTCAATGACCCAAAAGTCGGGATAATCGGGACCTGTTAGAAAGTCGTAAAGTGTGCCTACTACGGGTTTTTCGGGGTGCTGATCACGAATATTGTGATAGTTCTGATCACAGAAGATGATGTCTTTAAGCATTTAGACCAGGTCGGGTCAGGTCAGGTCAGGTCAAACAGTAGGGGTCGTGACGGGTATTCGTAGTACGTGTCAACCGCCTCTGATTGCTTCGTGACATGTTACGAAGGCGCCAAAACTACTTCGTAAATGTTCAAATGGTTGCTTAATTCGAATTCAGCTCCAAAAACTAGCTTAGAAACATGTAAAACTCCAAAAAGTGAACCGAGGTCACCAAAGGTCAGTGACCTGACCTGACCGTCAGGTGACCTTGACATCTACCCTAATGCATGGGAGCAGCATCAAATCAAATGTTTGAACGTTTGAAACCACGAGAAGCTTGCAAACGCGTGGCTAATGCGAGCCGACATAGGGGAAGGTGGGGTAAGATGGACCAGCTAAGGTTTGAGGCCGCATATCTTGCTACACTGCTCTCGTAATTCATATTATTTATAGTCTTCGGAATGCTAAATCCTTCCTCTGTTGATATGTGTAAAGACTAAATTTCAAATTAAAGACATCTAGGTGGTGGATGCTCTTAAAGAGGGACATGTCAAAACAGTGGCGTATCCAGGATCTTGGAAAGGGGGAGGCCAAACCTGCTCGAGGGGCCCCATCCTTACCTTAGGGGCCCCAGTATTATAGCGTACTTAACCCACACCCAGGTGCGGTTCTTTGCCACTTTTGCCATGTGAGGGAGCCTTTTTAGGCACACTCGGCAATCTAAAAAAAAATGTTGAAACGTGAAAAAGGCATCGATATCGATAGCTCCGTAGCGTACAATTTATTTCAGCAGTAGGCATATAGTTTTTTTTTTTTTTGCTTTGGTCGTCGCTAGGGTCACTAAAGATCATCAAAAGCAAAATGTCTTTGCGATTTTTTTTTTTAAGATTGTAACATTTTTCAAAGGGCATATGTCAGTCTCTTAGTGTCTTGCGCTGGTTGAGGGCTGGTACCCTTAACTTTAGAAGGGCCCGACTCGGTTTGAGCTCTGATCTAGACTCTGATGGCTCTATGTCGCCCAGATTGGCCTCCCTCCGACCTCTGAAGGCTCATTCTGGCCTCTGAAAGCCCCACACCGGCAACAGAGTGAACCACGCTGGCCTCCGGGCCCCATAATGGCCTCAGGAGACCCATGCTATGGCTGACCTCACAGGGCCCCCGCTGGCTCTTGGGAGCCTTTGAGTCAGGCTCTGATGTCCCTATTCCGCTCTCGAACCCACGCCGGTCTCTAGAAGCCCACGATGTCCCCTGAGGGTCCCACGCATGCCTTTAAGGGCCACCCCTACCTTAGTGCCTCAGGGGTCCCAAACATGCATAAGGTCTGAAGAGTGGCTGCCGAGGCCCTCGAGGTGGTCTCTAATGGCCCGACGCCAGCCTATGAAGGCCCGCGCTGGCTTCTGAGGGCCAAGCACCAGCCTCTCAAGTCTTGACTCTGGAGTC